CAGTTTTTTTAGAAGCTGGGGGGTACCAGCTTCTAAAAACTGATTCTGATTCTGCTTCTGCTTTTAAAAAAGAAGCAGAAGCAGAATCAGTTCCAAACACCCCCTATGTCTTGTTGTGTTTTGTGAAAATTTGCACAGAAAAAACAATACATGTTTTGTCGGTGAGCGGAATTCAGAGACAACAAAATACTCTCTCACATTGGTAGGTATAAAAGTTGTGAGTCTAAGGGTGAGTACAAATAGTTTTTTCCTCTATTTTATCAATATTGTACTCAATATTTTCATAGACAAAATGTGTTTTGTCTTTGACAGACAAAACACATTTTGTTTGTCACAGACAAAAAAAGCCTTCACAAGTGTGTGTACAAGTGTATAAACATTAAAGTATGTACAACAAGAATGATTGTGCCACGAGAAAATGTGAATGTTACGGAGGTAGTACAATTTATCACACCATGTATTAAGGCTAACATTTTTTATCCTTCTCTCCCTCTCCTCTCCCTTCCTCTATATGAAAATCTCCACCTTCTTCCTCTTCTTCTTTCTTATTTGTTTTACACTTTCATTACTTTCACATCCACCTTCAAACCGTCTTCAATTTTATCAAATTCATTTTCAACATCTCCGTCATTTTCTAGGCCCATATATCTCACCCACTGTTCTAAAAATCGGCCTTGTCGGCCTTGTCGGTCCTCACTATAGAGGTCTAATCGGCCTAGTCGGCCAAAAATCAGTCCAGTCGGCCAAAAAATAGGTCTAGTCGGCCGACTAGGCGCTAGGCGCCCCTAAACCGCCCGACTAGCGCCTAACAAGTTTTAGAACAATGATCTCACCATATTCATCGCCTCATATCGTCAGCATCTTCCAGATTCATCACCATCTCTACTTTTATCATCTTCTAAGATCGGAAAAATGACGTTTGAGAGTCGTCACAAAGTTGCCTTGAAAATGACTTTTACACTGTTTGTGTGCCCAGAAGCTGTTAAGCACTGACAGTAAATGTGGAAATTGTTTGGGTGCAGGTAACTAATGTATGTATGCGGACATTAGTTTGCACGTTATTTTGCCAAAATGTCATAGCTTGATGGCACGGAAACCAATACATGTGCACATATATACATTAGTTGTCGGTCCACAAACAATCTCTACATATTTGTCTGTTCTTGACAATTTTGTCTAGGCACACCGACACTTTAAAAAACTTGGATCTGTATTTAGACATTTTTTCCAGTGAGTCTCAATTTTTGACCATAGAAGATGATAAAGGAAAAGATGATAATATATGATTGATATGAAAGATTGTGAAGACAGGAGATGGAAGTGGAAGATGATAGAGATGGTGACAACATAGAGGATAAAAATGGAGTGAGGAAGATGAAAGAGGATGAAGATGGTGAGAATGAAAGATGATGAAGTGGATGTGAGGGTGAGGGTGATGGAATTGAAAAAAACATAATGAGGGAGTGGGGGGGATAGAAAGTTGTAAGGATGGAAGAATAGAGACAAGGAAAGGGTAAGGAGGGAATAAAGTTGTTAGAGAATATTTATGATGCCAAATCATGCTTAATATATTTATATTTGTGTTGTAATAATTTAATAAATAGACAAAGGGCAACTTTATGTCAGGGCCCATATTCTATTTCATAGGCTATTATTGTAACGGCCCTAACCCTAGACATATAAAGTCTGGAGGACATGCTCGAAACCTTGGGTATCTAAGAATCACAGCTATCACACTAGGCATTCACGCACATTTGTAGATAGAGAGAGAGAGTGTGTAGCGCCATTTCATACCATGTACTGAAGTTCGATATTATTTTGGTATTAAATCGGAGCTCTATATCATCTCTGTTCTATTCTATTATTTGTTTGATCATTGGAAATAGTATTTACAATTGGCATCAGAGCCAAGGCATGTAAGAGGTTCAATTTCCTGCGATTTTTGGATCTGCCATTAATGAAGAATACATGCTACTTGAAAATCTTATTTCTTGTGATTTTTTGTTTGATCGAATTGCATTCAACAATAATATATTATTTTTGGAAGATTCAGATAAAAAATCCAATGCAGAACAAGCCTAAAATCTTGCTGTTGGAGAACTTTTTGTATTTACACAAGCATGTTCTATGAAGAAGAAGAGCAAGAAAAAGAAGACTTTCTCAAAGTCTAGGATTTCGAGCTCAGGAGTTCGAGCTCACGTTCCCGAGGTCAAAGTTCGAGCTCAGGATTTCGAGGTCAAAGTTTGAGCTTTAGTTTTGAGGTCAAAGTTCAACTAAGCTTCAGTTTCTAGGTCACTTCTCGAGGTTGGTTCTCGAAGTAACCTTCTTGAGCTCAAACTTTGAACTCAGGACCTCGAGATCAAAGTTCAAACTTATGATCTTCAGCTCAAAGTTCGAACTTAGTTCCCGGGCTCCACCTCTCAAGCTTCAATTTCCGAACTCAGCCTCTCAAACTCCAGTTTTGCAAAAGTTTTCATCGTTTTAGCAATAACTTTTGATTCGGTGATCCGATTTAGGCCGTTAAGACCTTTTCGGAAACGGGAGAAGAGATCTATAAGACTTTGTGGGTCACCGGGACTACATCTCACGTGCCCTCACTCTCCCTCCTTGACAAAGATTTCTTCTATTTTATGAAAAACATTGTCAATCATTGAGGTCAAGGTCAAAATAATGCTCAATTCTCCAAATTCAAACCAAAGGTCTAAGCTGATCTAAGCTACACTCCAAGGGTCCATAAACTTTCAGATAATTCAATCAAACTCATGTCAATGATCCTTATCCAATAGTCAACAATGGATGCGCTGAAATTTATGATGAGCTCGAGGTAAATTTTTCTAATTGGAATTTCGCTGATCAAATATGTTCTTCACATGATAAACCCTCTTCCTTGAGTGATGAATTTATAACTATTAAGAAATTTTTATAAGCTCGCCCAGTCAATAATGAAAGTGTCCTGAGAAAACACTCAATCAAACAATCATTCCTCACTGATCGTTTAACCGATGTACATAATGACAACATCAAGCTTAAGTCTAAATTTGAACACACGGAAACACAAGTATGTGACTTAACTAAGCAACTAAAAGCTTCTGAACTTGAACATATCATAATAACAACAACCACTTTTGAACATCTCCAACATGAACGTTGTAGATTATATTCTAAGGTTAAAGAGTTGGAGGACTTACTTGCCAAGAGAGGTCAAACAGATTAATCCATTTTCTTAAATCAGTCAAAAGAGACCACTTTCTACAATCCCAAGACCAGAATCTTTAGGTTTTCCAAAACCTTTGCAACTTGAAGAAAGGTAATTGTGCTCAACTATTTGACATTCGATACATGGGCTTAGGTTTGACGAAACTTATGTCCTTCGTGGGAGGGTCGAAAATTGATGCTAAAGAAAAATAAAAGAGAGAAAACAATTTTAAGGCTAAGATCTCTTTTAACTACACTCAACTGAATGCTAGTTATACGACAAGAGAAAGTCCTTTATCTGATGGCTATGCATCACGTTTTCCTCCACCAAACGAGTCTGAGTCTGTGCCTGTAGGAGAAGAACAATCTTTTTCTGAAAAAACCAAAACTGACAATGTTTATATCCCAAAGTTCATTTGTATAATTGCGGACTTGTACAAATCTTTAGAAACCGAAAGAGAGTCTTTTCAAAACAGAAAAGGAACAACTGTTAAATCTGATTTCTCTTCTGAAAATTGTCCTAAATACGGACACAACATCCTCCTCCTCTCCTATTCAAATGAGCACATTTAAAGAAAAGTTGAAGTTCAAGCAGTCCGTGATTTAACTTTGTCACACACTATTCTTCTCAATCTTCTTCTAATGACTCTAGATATGTGCTTTCTCATTCAAGTGCTTTCTGAATGATGGCAAATCTAAACAGGAGAGATTTAAAGCTTCAACCTTTATTGTTTGTGGAGATGTTTGTTTGACATATCCCCTCAAATGGTTAAATGGTTATCTACAGAGAAAATCTTTTCTTCTCGAAAATCGATTTCATCATTTACCTGCGCTGAGAATTCTCCCCCACCCACAATAACTCAAAAATGGGTTCTTAAATAAGAATCCCGTCCATATAGCTCTCCCAAAGCTTCAAAAGAGACTGGTTTAGGAACAAAAGTAGAACAAAAATTTCAAAATTTATATTTAAACCTTTGTAGGTCCGTCAATGGTATATGTCCTTATTGCTCCATACACATGGCGAGTATGAGAAATCGTGAGCAATTAACCTATGCACATTATCAAGTAAAGTATTGTTATGTATACTCTCCACTAAGCAGAAATTCTCCAAAGCACACTTCGAGGAGGAACCGTAAATGGATTGGATAGAAATTAATATGGATGTGAATGGTAGGCATGTGGATGGATCTGAAGAGACAACAGTGGGCAGTCTTTTAGGTTATCATAACCGGTTACTAAAAGCCATTTGGTCACACATAGAAGCAGAGATCAGTGTCAAGGAAGCTTTTGTTTGAATAATTAAAATGGGTTTACAAGAAGTGATGGTCGAGTCAAACACAACATATTGGTTGCGGGAGTTCAAGAGAAAGCATGTGCTACTCCGGTGAAAGTTATTTTTGAAGACATCAGGATTTTGTTAAATAGTAATATCAATTTTAAAATTATTTGGTGTAGAAGATGAGTGAATTCTAAATTATCTCGTTCAATTCTTTTTGTTTGTCTTAAAATAACATTTCATTTTCATTTTGGACAAAAAATTTATACGAATAGTTCATAACTTTTGTTTACGCATTCTTATGATTTCTTATTTACATTTTCACTTTTTTTTTGACGCACTGCACCTACTGAACTAAGCTACACCCTCCTTTAGGTCATTGGGCCATAAACTCAATGTGTGGTTGCCGAATAAATTTTACTGTGATGTTGAAAAATCAGTTTTTTTTTATCCGTGTACAGAGTACAGTAGATTCTGCAACGCCAATGGTCCCTGAAATAAATATACTTGCTCTTCCGCTCCTCCCCATACTACAAGTCTGAAGACTGAAATCCTCTCTTACTATTTCCCCACCTCCTTCATCTGCTCTGGATCATTGAAGATTCCTCTCTCTTTTCCTTCACCTTCTTTGTTAAAAGTTCTGTCTTCATGATGAGCAATGGAAGAAATAGGCTTCCATTCACTGCAAATCAGTGGCAAGAACTTGAGCACCAAGCTCTTATTTACAAGTACATGGTCTCGGGCATGCCTGTCCCACCTGACCTTCTCTACTCTATCAGAAGAAGCCTTGATTCCTCCCTCTCCTCCAAGCTCCTCCTCCACCAACCTCCTCAACGTAGTACACTTCCTCTACTGCTTCATATTCTCTCTTTTCACATACCTTATATTTATTTATTGTAACCCATTAAAAAAGTTCATATCTTGATCTTTGTTATGCAGAAAAAAGTATGGCAATCTTGAATGCCCCTACGTTTTTGAATGTTTCTTTATATAATTGTGTAGAACATTTTGTTTGAAGTTAGGATCTTTATGCTTAGTTTATATGGGGTGTACAAAAAATTATATTTTGATGAGAAGGGCATGTCTCATTTGACTTACAATGCTAAATTATAACAGCACAATCCAATAACAGTTGATTTGACTAGACTATATACTGTACAACAATTGGTTTTAAGGCAAATAGTGAATCTTGTTGATTTGAGTGCAGTGGGGTGGAGCTGTTTCCAGATGGGGTTTGGAAAGAAGATAGACCCAGAGCCAGGGAGGTGTAGGAGAACAGATGGCAAGAAATGGAGGTGCTCCAAAGAGGCCTACCCAGATTCCAAGTACTGTGAGAGGCACATGCATAGAGGCAGAAACCGTTCAAGAAAGCCTGTGGAAGTCATGCCAACAACAACTTCAACACAACCCCAAACACCCCCTTCAGCCATTCCCTATTCTTCTTCTTCAATGAACAAGAACACTAGTACCCCTTTGCTCTATCCCCATTCAACTTCATCAAGACCTCAAGGCATTGCATTACCATCTCATCAGGATCATACCTCCAACTTCCTCCTAGATTCTGCTTCTTACTCTAGGTGAGTAATAAATACTCCGTAGTTCTTGGATAGTTTTTTGGGCATTTCTTTTTCAAGGTTAAGTTTTTTTTACAAAAACAAAAAATTCTCCGTACTACGTAGCATTTAATTTTTTTTATAGTTTTGTTAAAGCCTTTATTTTTCAGATTATTGTTTTTTTGGTAGTTTTTTTAATCTTTTCTTTTTCAAGATTCAATATTGAGTTCATTTAAAGACTGGTGATTAGTGCCCACTCTGATAATGTAGGAATGGTTATGGTCATGGAATGAGGGATGAAGGTGTGGATGAGCATTTATTCTTCTCAGAGGCTTCTGGAAGTATAAGAAGCACAACTGGTTCAAATTCAGTGGATGATGACACTACTTGGCAGCTGGCTCCTCTTACAATGGCTTCTTCATCACCCTTGGGAGGCCAGTTGAAAGAAAGGGATTATTGTGTGTCTCAAGATGGGTACTCTTACCTTCAGCTTAATGAAGCCTCAAGACAGCAGCAGAGACAACAAGAGGATTATTATGGTCTGGGGAGCAAAGAAGACCACCAGCAGCCCAAGAAAGTCATGCACCACTTCTTTGATGAATGGCCCAAAGAAAACAAAGATTCTTGGCTTGATTCTGGTGATAAATACTCACTCCATGGGCCCCACCTCTCAATATCTGTCCCAAATTCGTCTCATGATTTTTACATGACCCACAGTGGTATGACATAACAACTCTTGCTAATACCCTTAACCCACATTTTTTTGCTTAAATTTGCGTCTCTCTTTTGCCTTTTTATCTGAAACTTATATCCAAAGAATGTTTTGTTCACACTACTTAAGCAATTTTACACTAAAAATGTCATCTTTGGCATAATAATAGCCAGCTAGCATCCATTTTTTCATGTCGTATTGTGCGTCCGGAAGAATCCCAAAGTTGTGATTCTATTTTTAGCTGGAAGAAAAGTCATTAACCTCACTGTTATATATGGTTATTTCGTGCAGTACAATTGTGTTTTTGACTATAAACTTGCTCTTTTTTTTCCTGCAGAAAAGTGAGAGGTACAGTGGGGACTTGGCTTTCTGTCTGAATCATGAAAGGGCAGAAGAGCTAGGGAATGGGTGGTGGGACCCTGCTTTTACTGATCTTAGCATTCAGTAAAGCATGTGTAATGTGGTTTGTGAGACAACAGTTATTGCTCATGCTTGTGTAATATATATGGTACTTGAATTAGAAGTTTGAATGGTGGTGTAGCAGTGGGAAATGTCTGTCCACTGAGCAGTCCACATGTATTTTGGCCTTTCTATTCCCCACTTCCTTAATTCCATTCCAACAATTTATGTTTTATTGTTATGTGTTTGCTATGTTCAGTCATGTGTCTGGATTTTGCCACAGGTTTTGGAGGTTTGTTTCTTCATCTGATGTGCTATCATGAGCATCGCCATCTCTTCTTTTCCTCCCCATATTGTTTTCTTTTTTATGTGGTTGTAGGTATTAAATTAAGGTGACAACTCCAGTACCTTTCTAAAAATAGGGGTACTGTACCTAGCATTCATTTGATTGGATCACATCACTTTATCAATTTTAATTTAGATTTAAATAATTTAACTACTACCTTTTCATTGGTCCATGTGGACAAAGGTAGGGTATCTTATGGGTACCATAGAAACTACCTTAAATTAATACGTACTATCTAATTGGAATGACTTAAGCCTACATATTAAGGATAAATTGATGACATGTCCATTTGGTAATATCAAAATTGATTTATTCGGCTGAAAAGTCAGGATTTCTGGCTGAATTGACTGATTCTGCTTATTTATGAAAAAAAATTATATTTAAATTATATTTTATTATTAAAATAAAGAAAATTAAATGCAAAAATAGTTCTACAGTATTCTTATAGTAACTTCAACCATATAGTCAGAAAAATAATTTTGATCTTACTTTTTAATTACGTGTTAATTGAAGAATATGATTAATTAGCCGAAAAATAGGGTTATCAAACGGACTCTAAATATGAAGCTTCTGTTAATGTAACACATGCTTAGAGTCTCTAATCCAAATTTTCATTAGAAATGAGTCATTAGTGTGAATGGGACCTTTGATTAGGGGTGGTTTGGTAAGGTATGCCAAATATGTTCTCTCATACTTTTGTCGTATCAAAACTTTCGTATGCAAAATTTATATACCGTTACTTTACCGAAGTTTCGGTATACCGCATTTTGGTATACCGAAGTTTCAGTTCGATAATGGTATGGTATCGGTAAATTAGTAAATTATCATACATGTCTCCCAATACAACAAATTATCATAAATTAATGAAATATACTAAATCGGTGTTACTAGCGATATACTTATTCCATTATTTAAATGTTACATAATAATAATAGTAATAGTAATAGTAATAGTAATAGTAATAGTAATAGTAATAGTAATAGTAATAGTAATAGTAATAGTAATAGTAATAGTAATAGTAATAGTAATAGTAATAGTAATAGTAATAGTAATAGTAATAGTAATAGTAATAGTAATAGTAATAGTAATAGTAATAGTAATAGTAATAGTAATAGTAATAGTAATAGTAATAGTAATAGTAATAGTAATAGTAATAGTAATAGTAATAGTAATAGTAATAGTAATAGTAATAGTAATAGTAATAGTAATAGTAATAGTAATAGTAATAGTAATAGTAATAGTAATAGTAATAGTAATAGTAATAGTAATAGTAATAGTAATAGTAATAGTAATAGTAATAGTAATAGTAATAGTAATAGTAATAGTAATAGTAATAGTAATAGTAATAGTAATAGTAATAGTAATAGTAATAGTAATAGTAATAGTAATAGTAATAGTAATAGTAATAGTAATAGTAATAGTAATAGTAATAGTAATAGTAATAGTAATAGTAATAGTAATAGTAATAGTAATAGTAATAGTAATAGTAATAGTAATAGTAATAGTAATAGTAATAGTAATAGTAATAGTAATAGTAATAGTAATAGTAATAGTAATAGTAATAGTAATAGTAATAGTAATAGTAATAGTAATAGTAATAGTAATAGTAATAGTAATAGTAATAGTAATAGTAATAGTAATAGTAATAGTAATAGTAATAGTAATAGTAATAGTAATAGTAATAGTAATAGTAATAGTAATAGTAATAGTAATAGTAATAGTAATAGTAATAGTAATAGTAATAGTAATAGTAATAGTAATAGTAATAGTAATAGTAATAGTAATAGTAATAGTAATAGTAATAGTAATAGTAATAGTAATAGTAATAGTAATAGTAATAGTAATAGTAATAGTAATAGTAATAGTAATAGTAATAGTAATAGTAATAGTAATAGTAATAGTAATAGTAATAGTAATAGTAATAGTAATAGTAATAGTAATAGTAATAGTAATAGTAATAGTAATAGTAATAGTAATAGTAATAGTAATAGTAATAGTAATAGTAATAGTAATAGTAATAGTAATAGTAATAGTAATAGTAATAGTAATAATAATAATAATAATAATAAGATTTTCAGACAGAGTTGTGTGCATCGACTCGTGAAATCCCCATGTAGATAAACTCATCATGAAAGTGTATCCCTCTTCACTCGTCAGCTACTCTGCGGCTCAACCATCGCGACTCACAAGCTATTGGAACAAGATAGACTTGTTTTTTTAACATTAGTACGTTACTCATTACTCATTAGGGTTAGTTTATTTGAATGTTACGTAGTAGAAGCCTAGGAGAGTATAGTGAGTTCGGAAAATTGGGCCTTTTTTGTGTTTTAGTATTTGTAACCAACCTAAGTATTAATTTTGGGCTTCAAAATTATTGTAATGGACTTTTACAAATTTTAGAATTAAAAGTAATTATTGGATAGGGAGTCGGTACGGTATTATACCGGTATACCGGTGTGGCAGCAGCTTCCAAAGGTTCTTTTGGCGTGTTGCTAGTCTGCATCATCACTAATTCTCCAACAGAAAGTTCAGCGGTCAAGCTAGGAACAAGCACATCGACGACATCGTCCTTGAGAGTTGTATTCTCCCGTACAACTACTCCTAATGTCTTTGCTTCAACTTTGGAAAGTTCAGTCTCCTTCTCGGCTAGAACTTTACAAATAAAAGGATGGTGTCCATACTCTTTGCAATGAAAGCAAAAATTAGGAAATGTTTCGTACACCACATGTTGTTTGAATACCTTACGAGAAGGTAGTCTTAAAGGAAGTGATAGTTGAGGTGGCTTGGAAACATCCACTTCAATAAGCACTCTAGCAAAGTGGTGGTTGCTCTTCTCTTGGGTGACCTTGTCCGTGGTTAGTGGGACACCAACCATAGATGCCACTTCACTCATCGCCTCTTCATTTCATAGCTTTAAGGGTAGATTGGGGAATTTAACCCATATCGGCACCTTTAAAAATTCTTCATCAACGAAAGAGAAGTCATCGGAGAGTGGTTTAAGCATCAACAATTTCCCAAATTTGGAGTATGGCCCTCCATTCAACACTTTAGTTCTATCAAATTCACTTTGAAACTTGAAGATGACCCAACCCCTATTATGGGACCTAACTTGGCATTTCACACCTCATTCCTCTCTCAACTCGTGAACCGCTTTCAATCCGGGGAATCTACCCGTGAAATCCATCTACCATTTGGTAGATGGATTTGCTACATGAAGACCGATTTGAAATGGGGTGACATGGATGAAGCAATGAGATTAGACATAGAGATACGAGCTCTGGTCAAGCAGTGTCGTTGATTTTTATGGGAAGGTTAATCGAGTGTAGTGTGCTTGATGAAGCTGGATATGATGATCGAATGTTGAATACACGCACATAATTGAGGATTTTAATTTAGAGGGACTGCCGAGATTTTTTAAAAAGTTTGAAATAAAATAAAAATATAACAAGATATGATCAAGTCAAATACTATACTTGTTCGAAGTCTATTCAACATACATTTTTAGTTTTCGAGTAATACATTCCTATCCTTTAATATTTTTTAAATGAAACCTGAATATGAGTTTTAGAATTTGATAAGATCTTTCCAAAAACCTAGAAAATGCTTGATATGGAACCAAATGCAGCAAGATATGATCAAACAAAAAGGCTATATATATATATATAGGCATAGAATCCTAAGAAAGATAGGAAATATAACTAATTGTAATTAAACTTGGAAATTAAATAAAAGCTATTCTAATAGAACAAGGACTTATTCCCAGGTGTCTTTGATGAAGTACATGTGCATTCAATACGCATCCTAGTGTAATGGTGTAGGAGATCCCAAGCAAATCCATTTGTGTACGGGTGAGGAGATGCATTAAGAAATCCTTACGATCAAGGAGAGTGCCGCCCAATGCTCATAAGAATAAAGAGATTTGAAGGCATTCTTCTACCCGGATTCAAGGAGTCAAAAGAATTAAGGACATGTTTACTTCAATTCTTAATAAACAATGTTTAATAAGCCTTGTGATAGTAAGCCGTTGTTTAATTAGTACGCAGACATTTACGCAGCAGGGATCGTTTACTTCAACCTTCTTAATACCCTAACGGTAAGTTACACGACCAAGTAAACATGTCCTAATAGATTTCGAAATCCTAAAGAATGTGTCTTTATATTGTGTTTTTCAGGTTGAACCAACCCACACGGGTTAGCCCGAAAACCAGCGACCCGCTTGGAATATCGAGCCGGAGAGAGAGCAACCCGTGAATCACCCGAAACCCTCTCAAATCCGTGACCCATCCAATCACCCCAAACAAATACAATTACTACCCATTTGTTACTCTCCAGTTTTTCATCTTACTTTTTTGGTTGCAATAATATAATTTTCAGGGTAACAAAAATAGGATTCTAATATATTCAAACACAATCAACGAAACGAACACGAATGTAAAACTAGATTCGATTGTTAACGAAAACGAATATGAATATTCTAGAACTTATATGAGCACGAATATAATAATAATGCCAAGTATGTAATTCGTTCAAAACCTTGCATACATTATTCAAGCTTGCATAAATATATAAATATACTACAATATTTTTACAGAAATATTAGGTTGGACTGTTGGATCTTTCTTAAAAAGGTTTGTTTGTCGAATACTCGGTATGTAACCGGATCTTTTGAAGATTTCTATAATACGGAGTATAAAAACTAAAAAAAAGGCAAAATTTTGTAATCTTTGTTTATGAAATACTCTCTCCCTTTCATTGTAAACTTTCCTCTTTTGGTTGTCCAAAAAAACTTTGTCACTTTCCTATTAAAGCAACTAATTTGTGGTTATGCACATTTCTCTCTATCTGCACATCTCCCTTTCATTGGACTTTGTAAACTTTCCTCTTTTGGTTGTCCAAAAAAACTTTGTCACTTTCCTATTAAAGCAACTAATTTGTGGTTATGCA